TAATTCAGGATCAATTCATGTCTAAATTCGAACGTGGGTGATCATATTTTTGATTGCAGTTTCAGATTCACTAAAAATGAAGCGCGCTTCTTACTCGGGATTAAATTTTTGACGACAGAACCCTGGTGCGCGTATTTTTTTTCTGGCAGCCATCCCAGAAATCAAAATTAGCAGTTTCAAATGAAAAATGGGGCAGCTTCGGCAGAGAAACTCAGCGTACACAGAAATGTCCATGCGGTATTTCGTTTCGCCTTGACGTTCACACATTTCATGTTGCCTTAGAAAGAGCTGTCAGAGCCCAATTCAGAAAATTACACAATACCACGAATCAGTTGAATTGATTCGTTTACTTCAAAAGTTTCATGAACTCCAAACTCAACTCAATTGGACATGAAGAGACTCCGAAGGTTGTTTTCTCGTTGAACTGAGATCCTGACATGATTAAAACTCCATCGCTTGAGATTTTAATTCCTGAAACTCCCAGAGCAACCACTATTCTACGCAACCCTGTAGCATTGTCATTAAAATCGCTAATGGTTATGAATATTGCGTGTTTCACGAGATAGAACGACAATATTTGAAACAATACTCCTTCAAAAAAATCTGTCCAATTGAACAGAATAATTCTTATCGATTTCTTGGATTATTGAGGCTCCCAAAATGCGTACAGGTGAAGTATTCATATTAGACGGTGCAATGACGTTTCCAAGATAATCGCGGAACACTTTCAATACAGTATTTCAAATTGCAGAGACGAGTTTATTGAGGGGGAAAACCAGAAACTATCATAAGTACCACACTAAATAAATAGAAGATGCATATTACAGGCCGCCATCTGGGAAACAAGATTTCTCCATCATTCACCACAAGTTTTCCAAATATCTAAAAGATCAGGGCAACAGTCAAAATGCTAGAAATGTATTCGATTGAAATCAAATCCTTTCAAGAAAGAAAGGCAGTGGGGAAAAGCGTTCATCTTATGACATACATTCAGATTCCAGAGTCGTAGAAGCGAGACCAACAAAACGCAAGAATGTTCAAAAAATTTCCAAGGTGAAACTTTAATTAAGGTCATGAACAATATCTCGAAGGATTATCGATTTCACTCTGTCTGAAAATGTCATGAACGCTTTGAAGTGTGGCGGTGTTACGCAATGCTTGATAAATTGACCAAACACGCAGATACAAACACGAAATTCAGTAGGGTATTGGAAAACAATCATAACTGATTCCAGAGAGAAGTTTGTTAGCTCAATGACATTTTCCCACAAAAAAGTACAGGAATAGTTTTAATTGGTTTCCGGACCTCAGAAGTGACCATGCAAATCAAGAAAATGTGTCCAAGAAAGTATTGTTAGGCCTAAAATCCAATTAATTCCCTCAATGCAATGTAGGAGAAACTCACTGCAGGACAACAACCCTTTCACCTTTCATTATTCATTTTCAAGTGAGTTTTACCAGTTTTTTTTTATGCAAACCAGAAAACCATTCACAAACAAAGGACTCAGAATGGAACATTCTCATGCTAAAATTTTAAATGATAAGTAATCCATTGCAACAGGCAGAAATAATTAAAATCACATTTAAAAATCTTTTCTTGTCATTTCTTTTCAACATCAGAAAATTTGAAGAACTGATAATTTGAAACCTTGATGCAAAATGTTTAAATTTTAACCCATTTAGAAAAAATAAAAAATCGTGATCAACAATTCTTCAAACAATTGATGACACATTCCTCGAAAATAATAAAGAATTTTGAACTTGAATCCCTGGCTTTGCTAAAATAAATGAAACAAAAGAATTCTTTTTTTTTTCAAAGTTTTTCAGACAAGTCGTGGTTTGTTAGCTGAGGCCAAAAACCAAAGTTCGTTCGCTAGAAAGTTTGCAAGCCAGGACATTAGTAAGCAGAGACCCCACTTCACAGTACAGTACGATCATGACCTTCACAGCTTCTATCACGACCTTTGAAAATCTTCAAAATCTTCAAAACGTCGGTTTCCGCAATTTCAATTTAAGCTACTCCTCTCATGAACTGTGGCCGACATTGGCACGGAAGCACGGAACCACAGCGTGCTCAGCGTTACCAAAATTGAACCATACCAAGATTCCCAATTTTATAAATGCGTCGAATAACTTCTAAAAGGCAAAACACGCTTAGACATACCTGGGGGAGTCGTATTCCGGTCCGGTCTTTACCTCCGCGATTTTTTCCAGATCCGTACTGAGCTGATAGAGTCGGTTCACGGCGCCCAAAAAGACGACACCGTATGTCTCGTCCACAACGAGATGGTTTAGCACAACTTCACTCGCCGGGTTCGTTTCGTCCACCATGAACTCCTTCACGATGTACGAAGGAGTCTCCGCGCACGCACCACGGCACACAAACGCCATGGCCACCAGGGCGCACCAGCGCGACACGGCACCCGCGCACCACATCGTCACTCTCACTCACGCCCCGCCTAATCCATCGCAAGCGACACTTTCATCCATCACTGATACACCTTTAACAGCAAATCATCGATATTCCGATGAAAAAGTAACGCATAAACATGAATAAGAGACAACACTGAATCAAGGACAAAACTACATCCACTTCTAAGGTATCTTGAAAAAAAGTAAAATATAAATACAGAATCATCACTTACTTCCCAACAGCCCACTCCACCTTAAACAATGGGATTACTCAGTTCAATGCCATAAGAAATTGATACAAAATGTCAATCCAAATCTCTCTCAACCGAAATTATCAAAACGAGAATAAGCATGACAACCACGTCTGCTTTCGATTTCATTACGGAGCGGAAAATTTTCCGATGCTTATTCGTACCCTGCCTCAGACGTGCTAAGCAGTAAAATTTAATGGATACATATGACTTCTTGAAGATGAAAAAATGTGTCGAACGTCAGGAACGTTCCCAATCGTGATAGATATCGAGCGAGATTTTAAAGCAAAATCGCGTTGCACGTCGACTGGATTCAATGCCCTAAAACACAGCAAGAGTGAAATAGTGAAACATTTCATATAATCCCATGCGTGGTTGATCGGGTCATATTGCATTCTGCTCAGATCAGGCTTTAATCTTAGAAGGTCTATCATCCTACATGTAAGCGCCGTTCTGCTCACACCTTTAGAATACCATTTGAAATTAAAATATGAGACGTCATTGATTATACGAGGCATGCCTTGATTTTTGATGAATCAAAGTCGGAAAATTTTCGGCTTCTCTTCAATTAAACGCATTCAACACTTGAAACCGCTCGCGGAATTTTCAACTCACGTCACTCAAAAACGTTCGATCCACATGAGCCTGAAATCACAGAAGTCACACATTTGTCAGAATGAGTTACATGGGAAAACGTCGTCAATCGGAATCGAGGCGAACAAACAATATATGTTCACAAACGTAAAAAGGCTTACAAATATGAAAATTTTGAAAAAAAGAAACACTCGTCAGAATACCCGATGCGAGTAGTATACACAAAAAATTTCAGCATTTTTCGAATACACGAACGAAAACCCTTGCTCCTGGGCTGAATGGATGGAGCTAGGTTTCGTAGCACTAACATTTTCGGCACTTATCTGAAAGAACTTTTCTCGAATAGGCATGGATTTTGACTGATGATCATTCAAATGGCCATTCTCACAGCAACAGCGGTTCACATACGGAATTCGCGAGTAACAAGATAGACTTCGCTTCTATGATGCAAGCCGAATGAGAAACAAGACGACTCAACGACAAGATGTTTGATGTCCGGGGAAACCAGTGACTCTGTCAATCTTCAATCATCACCGAGATACAACTGCTTGGCAGGATCCTAAAACATGCGAAGTTGTTACCAGCGCAAGTAATAGTACAGTGCACTACGTGACTGAACCCAAAATTGAGTTGACAGAGTTTTGCGTGTATCGCACTTCACCCACCGTATTGTTCGATTTCGACGAAGTCAAAGGAGTTCCAGAGTCAGAATTCAACGCCGGACTATGACAGGTTGATGAATTAGGAGTGGATACTATTAACGGAGTTCGATTAAATCCAGGGGAACGAGGATCCGTCAATTTTGTTTTGAAAGCAGCACGAATTTTCCCCACCGGACCCATTTTCGGATCAAAATTTTCTGGACAATCATGGAAGACTTCGTCTTTTTTCACTTCACCCGAGCACTTCGAAGTTTCACCGGGAGAACCTATTTCGCGACTATGGTTCACACCCATTGCAGCTTCTGCGCGATGCGTAACACACGTAAAAATTGTCTCCGCACTAACAGACAAAATGGTTTTCGGCACTAAATCTGCAACAATCTGTAAAATACACTGCAAATGCCTTGAAGAAAGTCAAATTCATACGTATCTTCCTTAGACAGGAACAAGCGACGAAACAGATCACGTCGCGCGATCGTAGAACTATTTTCCAAGGAGCGAAAGAAAGTTCGCGGTTCCGTTCGAAATTTCGTGTTGCAAACGAATAAGTTACAAAGAATAATAAATTCACGTAAAATCAGCAAATATTCAATGACGGATCCTCACGACCGTCCAATCCACCACAAGACGGACGATCACGAAATCACGCACCGGCGACGGCATCTCCCAATGCTAGTAACGCGGACAGTCCTGCCTAGCTTGAAGTCTGCTACCGTTCTGCGGGGAAGCGAGGCCATTTTCGCACTGAAACACTGGTTTATGTACAAGTCATGGCACGCTAGAAATTTGAATTTACAAAACCCACTTGCGTTCGTTCCAGGCGCATTATCTGATTGCCAGACGATGTAATTTTCCTGTCCTTACTATAATTCTTGAATCTATTTTACTTGATTCTTGGACGAAATAAAACAGTAGATCACGGCGTTTGAAGTTTTTTTTTAAGTTTCACGGAACAGTATTCCTTCTGAATTTTCGTAGAACATTAATTCACAAAATTTTGGAGGAAGAAATGATATTCAATCTGCCGTTTGAAATTTTGAAAAGTTCGAACGCGTGAATCATTCCTGAAAATCGAATTATCCTACGAGGAATGGGGCAGAACCAGATCCGGAACCTTTTGGAGCTTTGAAGGACCACGTTCTTGCGATTGCGCGCCGTAGAAGCTATTGGAAGTACCGGCGGAGAAACCGAGCGTCAATTGCAACCCAACTCTACGGAAAGAAATTGATCGACATCGGACATTTAAGGGCGAGGACTCAGGCGCGAGGCTGGTCAGTATTGTATGCACTGTATTCATGTACTGTACACCCACCTAAACGACTACCCAGCAGTTCTGCATGAAGGGTAGGTCGCCTTTTTACGGAGGAAACTTATATTGGAGCATGAATGAAGTATGCATGTCCGGGATGTTAGGAAACATAAATAAATTTATTTTTGTTTGTATACGATTACATCTGTTGAAAATTTAGAAACTTCAGCATTGTAGTTTAATCTATATAAGTTATAAGACGCCATATAATGTTAGCTGTGCATGCATACAAATCATATAGGATGATTTTGTAAGTTGATGTTTGGGTGGTTCACCATATATATATGGATGCAAGTGAAAAAATTGATGACTGGAATAGCTTTTCGAGCATAAAATCCCCTTTACTGCTATAATTTTGAAAATGTGTAACCAACTGGGATACACGAGTGTATTATGCACTCTCATACTGGTAAACATGTTCGATTGTTTTTTGATGGCATTGTATATACGCAATATCAGTTTTATGCAATAAAACAGTTGAATACGAGAGGAATTTTTGGAAGACTGCGTCATGCTTTAATGCTGCTGTTTGTTTCATTTTAATTATTTCATACCAGCAATTAAATGCGCATCAGCTTGATCATCGAAGATCGAATCGTCGATACGGTCGATTGGTAAACTATTTTTAAATTTACTGTGCTTTGGAATTGTGAGAAATAGTTGGCATGCATCTCGTCATCATCATCGAAGTACAGCTGAATAGGCACATCACGTAACTCAACTGATATTGACAGTAAAAAATATCCATACAACCAGCATGAAAACCTGCTGACAATCATAATTCACAGCAAGAATTAATATTTTTGGTTCTGAATAAGTGCACGTGCATCATGAAAGCTTTTCATACAGTGCGTACTCCCAGAAACAGGCACATATCCTTGATCTACAATTCTACATCCAAGAAAATCACAAACCCCTTCCACAGAGGATAACAGGGCGGAATAGGATTTAAATGCAAATTACAAAGATAAATGTCTTCTGACTTCCCGATTCCAGCTACTGGTACCTATAGTTAGAGCGACTCGGATTTCTAAACGTTCCCAACATTAAAAGAATTATGTCAAAAACGTTAATAGATGTCGCTTCTAAAGAAAATAGCATGTACCCATTCTGTATTGAATTATTATGTGAAAACGTTACCTTATTCAAAAGAAGGAGGAAAGCAGGTGAACTTTTGACTGCATTTTCAAAGCATATATAATACTGTATTTCGTTCAGATTTCAGGGGAGCTTTTGCAATTTTCTTCGTTAATTTTTTTAAACATTACAATTTCACATTATTTGTCAATTTTATTGCTCCTGCAATTTTTACGGAATCCATAAAGTGATGCATATTAGTTTCTGGTTATCCCTCGGAAAATGTATGCCTTTTACGCGTTTGATGTGCATATAATGGGCACTTTCAAGCTGTTATATTGTACCGGTATCCTGAAAAATGTTCGACCGTAGAAAATCTTCTTAACGCTAAAATAAATAACCAATGCTTTGGGAAGGTGTGAAATTTCTTCGGCTGATACTGCTTTAAAGGACTGCATTGTATATTCTTCGGGTGAGTTCTGGATGAATCTCAGGAAGATTACACTTCGGAATTGAACTTTGCAAGCCGCCGGAGAAGGAAGGCTCAAGTCCTGCTGCAGTCCGAAATTTACCGTAATACAGCATTTACAGACCTAATCCCCGATCTCAAGGCTTATAGTGTATTTATACTGTACAGCATTTTATGCCGTAAACATCAGTTGATGGGGAAGAAAACAATGCACAATAATCCGAAGCTTCCGACATTAAGCTGGAAATGGAAAGTTTCATTTTTGGGATGAAAACTCGCATTAAAAACTCTTCGGGGAAAATATTTTCTGGCTAAAGGAATGTAGGAGGAAGTTTTTGTAAATTTCAATTATGATAGCATCTAGTTTCAGCCTGCCTTTGATAATTTTTTGAAAAGTAAATTAAAATCGTTCGCCTTGCCGAAGCACTTCAATAAACCTTCAAATATACCTCCTGAAAATCTTAAGCTTGAGACGTTTAAAAAAGAAGAAGATATTTGCAGAGGGGTCTTCTCCCCTTGTCACATATACTTTGACAAATTTTTCTGGCTTTCAAGGCTTTCCTTATTATTATTGGTGATCATTTTCTCGCAATCCATCGCCAGGTCGAATATGCAAATTTAGGCCATCTTTTGATATGGCTTGGCATGCGCTGCCTTTAGAATTTTGTATAGCCAGCAATTGTTGTTTTTAGCACTATAGCTGTAGCACATCTATAGTTCAAAATTTTTAAAAACTATCCCAAAGAAGAAAAAAACATCCCTCAACATTATGGTTATAAAATGCATGGACTACAGAAAGAAGAAATCCAACGCTCGAAAAACCTTGATCTGGTAATGCAGAAGGTGCCTGATGGAAAACATGTGATAAGAACCCTGCTGAGAAAAAATTTTTCTTGTCCAAAAACGTGCAAGCAAAATTTGTGGAATTCAACAAGATGGGATCCAATTTTGGCAGGTATATCACAAAGAGCTTGGTCGAATGCTTTTGGTTGATGATGAAATCTCCTGGACTTGACAACTTCAGCTGGACAAAACACATCAGGAAAGACTTTCAAAATTTGGGATTTTTGTTTTGCAAATTGCCAAAGATCACAAAAACGAATCAGGAAGATTCTCATCTTTTCTTGCCAAGAAAGTCCAATTTATTCACAGAAAAAATACCATTCAATTCATAATATAGTTTTTTATAATTTTTTTATTTTGAAACTTTTTTCATTGTCCACACAAAAACAGTAGCATTCCATAGATGGTATCCAACTTTTGACACATTTCCCGGTGTGGGAATACTTGTCCAGACGAACCACTTCTTCAATCTGAAAATATTGATGAAAATGCAGTCATGATTTCAAAATTTGACTGAAAATACTGAGAATGGAAATCAACTCACAAAGAAGTCTGTCATTACCAAAGAGGTCATATTTCTGTATGCATAAGTAATGGCATGCACATGCGCTGGTCCTGGCGTTAATGTCAAATGGAGTTCGAATTCCTCCAGAACTGAAGATATAAAATTCCCGGTGTAAATTTAAAATGCAGATACATTTTATTCAATTCTTTCACCATATTTTAAATTAAGCCCGTCTCTTGCTGCCTGGAAGAGAGTGGAATTTTAAAAGTAAGCTATAGAAATGTTTAAAAAAGAGGCTGTCCTGTGAAATTTTCCTGCCCATTCAGGTCTAGGGTAGACACAGTTTTATGACAACCTGATTAAGGATAAACACATTTTGATCAATTGAGAAGGATGACAGAGTCAAGACAGAATTCATATTTCAAAAAACATGATCACCTGTGTCTTTTCTTGCTTGGATCCTCCTCATCGACATTAACTCAATATCCTCCAAGCCCCAGTCCATGCAAGTGGAAAAACTTGATGCTGGAGAGTAACCCATTTCACGTGGAATTTTCCTCTTAGCTTTAGGAAGATGATCAGAAGCAAAAAGCACATGATTTTGAAACAGGAAATGAAGTTCTTCGGGTATCCTCTTGGGCCTTGAAAGTCCCACGTGTGAAAATAAAGGAGTGGTAGCAGTTTTCCTCATGTAAGCGAGTACAGCTTCACTTGCGCTTGCCACATCCATGGCTGTATTGGGAAGAGTTTTTAAATCTGACGCATCCAGTTCTTTCCAAGATTCTTTGCAGCCACACAAACGTGTGGGAACACCAGCTTCATTGCAAGTTCTTGACTTGACCACTGGTTGCAACAATGTTTGGCCTTCCTTGGAGACTCCAGTGACCATGGACTTGTCAGTGCTGTTTTGAAAAATACACAAATTCATATAAAACTCATTTACAAGATTCCTGTGATATTTTAGCCGAATTTCCCAGCACTCTAACAAAGACAATTTAATGAATGAAGAAAAAGTTAAATCATAAAAAGGCTTTGAGCTTGTCAGAGGAACTTTCAAAATAACAACAATATTTTCTCAAACTTCATCCCCTGAAATTAATTTCGCTTCTGAAGGTAAATTCCAACAATATAATAAAAATTATTCATTCTAAAAGCACCTTTTAAATATAATTATCTTTAAGACATATTTTTCTTCATGCCTCCATTGATGAAATTGATCTGAAAGATAAAAGATAACCATGCAATCAAGCTACATTACTTTTATCAAAATATCAAATGTTCATATTTTTGCTATTGTGTTTAGATGTTAAACACCTCATGAAGTTGAATACGTTGAAATTTCTTTGGAAATTTATCCTAGAATTGTTGTACAGTAACTGGTTCAAGCAGAAGTTCATCTGATAGATCAAGTTCCTTTCTGAGCTTCATTTTAATACAGTACATAACCTCAAAATAATTATCCTGAAATTTTAAAATTTGATAAATTGAATCACTTTTCAAGTCTTAAAAATGTTAGTCAATGAACCTTCAATAGTGGAAATAACGCAATATTAGATGCATTCATCACATTTCTCTTTGCCTTTGTAACTTTTTTCAAACATATGTCTCAGACAGCAGAGATTGTTAATCCAGTTTAGCAACTCTTGCTCAGTATATGCAATCATTGCCACAATTAAAATACAGTACTTACATATTTAATGCTAGATGTCTAATTGTTTCATGCACATCCAAGATTGTGGTCATCATTTTGGTGTTTCCAATGAAAGTGGATTTGATTTGAGGGAAGAGCTTTAGAAACCATTCAGGGAAGAGCATGTATAACAATGGTCTGCGATTGTCTACAACACTTTGATGGAAATTTTTATGGCTTACGCCTTTATGACCATGATCAGTAAACATTATGAGCACTGTGGTATTATACACTTCAGGGTTCGATGTGAACCATTTGAGGTATTCAGCCACATCCTTGTCCACAGCTCTGAATCTAGTGGAATCGTCATGGGAATATTGCTTCTGGAAGGTGAAAAACAACTTTGGCTTGTCCTTGTACATCTGGAACTGTGCTTTGTTGAGTTCAAGAAACATCTGAGTATAAATAATAAAATCTGGTCAAAAATATATCACCATTTGAAGTTGAAGGGAAAGGTTGTCAGTATTTTCAAGGCACGCATATATTTTGGCTCAAAAGGCTTTTCAGTAACTTTACACAATTAAAAAGAGCATTTTTTGGATTTTGAAAAAAGATTCAATATCTCATCAGTCAAATTCTCTCATTTTTTTGGCGTCTGCTGCTCAATTGAAGGCTGAAAATTCAGCCCTGTCAAGAAGTTTTCTGCTTAACATCACCAGAAAATCCAATACAGAATAAGCTTTTTCTATAATTCATTACAAAGAATCTAATTTTGAGAGATAGTCATTTAGGACAAATTTAAATTTTTGAGGTAATGGTATCTGAATTTTATTATCCATACACATCTTGAAAAATATTTTTCAGGTCAAAATAGCATTGTTTAAATGAGATTTCATTGTGTCTGGTTCTAGCTAATGCATTCCCTGGAGTATGCAGAGCCCTCCAAGTTTTAGCCTGAAATTTGGATAAAAATAATCTCTAAGTAAGCTGCTTACTCCATGTTTTGTATCTAAAAAATCAAAATATGAATATGCATTTTTCTAATGAACCAAAGAGGTCAGAAACAGACTGACAAAACTCATGGACTTGTTCTTGCACAGAGGTTATGAGATGACGTTTATTATAATGAAAATTGAGTTCACCTTCATGCAGGTAACATTGAAGCAACATGGGTTCTGTAGCCCAACAATGTTTTCCGCAATCATGGAATATCCTCTTGTATCAAAATCACCCAGAACATTTCTAAAATAAGCAAACCATTGCAAAGCTGGAAACATGACTTGCATGTCCTCTATGAAGGATGTAACATATCCATGCTTTTGCAATTTTCTCATCAGCCATTCTAGAGGTTGATTTTCTAGGTACTCCCCTATTGACCGAGATGGAAAGAATCTCTGACCTGGAATCAAATAATTAGCCATGGGTCACATCTTCATTCCTTTAATATACTTGGAAGGACTTTCATGGAAATGTATAGTTGAAAAACTCAACCCTAATAAATAAATAAAACTGATGAGAACCTGTTAATATAGCAATGAAATGGATTGTTGTGTAGTCACTCATGGTGTTGAAACCTTGGAAATGAAATCCATTTGGATTGCTTCTCATTCTTGCCCATGTTCTCGGAAGTGAGCTTGAGAAAAAGTTTGTGGATGCTGAATCAAACCCCAAAATGTTGAAATTCAGCTTTGGAGCAGATTTTGGGAGCCTGTGCCATCCAGTAGTTGCTTCAATTTGTGGATTCCGTTTCAGAATATAATGCGCCTCAGTCCAACTTTGGTGATGCATAAAAATGGGGCATTTTCTGTTTAAAGCTCCACATTCACATGGACTAAGACACACCGGCCTTTTTGTTGCTTTAGTTTTAAATTCAAAGTTCTACTCTAATTCTGCTATCACAACATTTCTGTTTTTTGTTTGAAACATTTTGCAGGCCTAGAGCATTTAAAAATTGGCATGTCATCTCTTGTTGATCTGCTAAAATATTCTGCACACCTGCAGCAGTCTGCAAACCATAATTTTAAACTGGAGCATGTCAAAATGAAAAAAAATGTAAATATGTTTTGGATAGAAATCTTGGAAGTGCTATAGCTTGAAACCATAATTGCAGTTTCATAAAATTTAATTCGCCATTAACAGCAACATAAAAGGGGTTACACAGTTCCGCGCGGATCAGCTTGTTAATTATTGCTGCTGTTCTGTGGGGAAGCTTCAAAATTTAATAACTGAACATTTCAAGGCCTAGCTGTTTCAACACATGGATCAAAAGGACCGAGAATTGGGTAAAAATTGGAGGTAATGACATTGAGAATGTGTCTGCCTAATATCTTGGAACATATATTGAACATGAGAAAAATGTTTTTTTAATCCCTGATGTTTATATCACTTTAAGTCCGTGCGGAAACATGTAACCCCTTAAAGAAACAAGAAAGACATCCTGTTTAGTACAAAAAATTGAAAGGTTTTACCAGCAGTTCCCCTGGGGTTTTTTATAAGAAAAAGGGAGTGAGTAAGTTTTTCATGGTGGTCTATCTAATCATTTTCATACAAGTTTGCTGATTGTGAAGAAAATACAACAAATAAAGCTCACACTCTCATACTGTATATCTCTTCCATAAAGTTAAGCACTTCTATCCCTGCTCAGGATCCTCAACCATAATAACCAAGTTTTGGTCTTGCTATTTGTTTGATGAAAAAAAAATCAGATTATGCAAATATAATGGAAGTTTTGCCTGAGGAAAAATGAAAGAAACCAACTTGCGTTTCGTGCGTGGATCAAAGCAGGAAACCCCAACACTGCCTGAAAATTTGGGCTCATAAGGTCCCGTACTGGAGACAACCATGTTGATTTCCTCGTATTCCATGTCATGAAATCTGTAAATCTCTTCACAAAAAATGTAATGTGTCATAAACACCCTAGTTTTTAATTCAATATTACACATGGGATTCACCAGAAAAATTGCAAGTGATTTCTGGAAAAGTTGCTGAATCAATTTTGATGATTGTGAAATTTCTTGATACCGAAATTGGAGAATTTCCAAAGCTTCGGTGATATTCGCAATAAAAGCCCTCGTGATCTCGTTCGAAGTTTTTATGGTTTTTTTGACCTGTGAGGTTTTGTGTCAACTTGAATGGTTTGCAAGCCACATCTGGATCAGTGGTAATTGTTTCTAAAGCATCTCTCCACGACGTTCCGTGTTGAAATCTCCGAGCATAAAATGTCCATTTAATTGCCCAGGAAACAGTGAAACACACGAGAAAAACCTTAAATTTACGGAAGCGATTTTTACAAAGTGTGTGCCAAACACATTTCTCCATCTCCTTAGATATGAGAGCTTAGCGTGACATCACCCACTTGAAGACTGGATATATCTCTCTCTTTTTTGTTAATAAAAAAATGCAATGAGGAAAACACGGAAATCTGACAGTAAACGTGGGAAAAAAACAAGGTCAAGAATAATAAGACCAAAAACTTGAGAATATCCCAGCGGCTCCTATCAAAATATTATTCAAGTTATCTTCCGGGAAAAAATCTTCCCATCTCTTCTTCGCGACGAATATTTTCATGCAAAAATGCATCTTTTCATTTCTGAAGAATTTCTTTGATTTTCTGAGCCTAAAGATCCAGGCGAACATTAGAAACAAATGAACCCAATGTATTATTCCTGAATAATTTTTAACGCATCAATTTACGAAGCTCTTTATTTGAAAAAGTTGAGAGCTTTGTTTAAAACGCATTTGAGGACTCTTGCTTGCTTGAAAATGTGATAAAAAACGTCTGTATGAGTAAAGTATGGAAAATCTAAGAATGCCAACAGGGAAATATGCCAAAGTAAAAAAATAAAAAGCCCCTCCAAAATGAAAATATCTCAGTTTCTCCAATCAAATATATTTTTGAAGCTGTCTTTTGATGAAAAAAAATCTTCCCATATCATCTTTTTTTCAAAGAATTATTTCGTATGCAATAGTATGTCATCTCATGCCTCACAAATTTCTATAAAGTATTATCCCAAAAGATCCAGGAGAAAAATAGAAGCAATTTACCCCAATATAGTATTCCTGATTATTTTTCAATTATCATGTTGTCACATTTGCAAGATGTTTTGCAAATGCGCATCTTGAGAGAAAATAGTGCCCCTCATAGGTAGGTATACCATTAGGAAAACAAATTAAACTTTTGTGCATCAGCACTCGCTTGATTCTAACGGGAATTTTGAAGCAATATTTTTAGGAAACATAAATAATCAAGGCAGAAAAATACTGTCACTTCCGCCTTTATTTTACGAGAAAAATTACCTCGCAAGTACTGTATCTTCTGCGGTGCAAGGAAGACATTCTTCTCGGGAAAACAAGTAGTAAGTTCATACTTTATGATCTCACAAAAGTAAAATAAAAGTGGCGACGCTACTAAAAAACAGTATTCGAGATATCGAGACTGTTTTGAAATGACTTTTGGACTTACATGGCTTGAAAATGGCTTTGTCAGTGATTTTCCCGCGATTGAGTGGCCCGAAAAAAATAAACTTCTGATAAAATAAAATATCTGCGTGAATAATCCAGATGTGAAGGAATAAAGCTAATAAATACCCTGGAGAAATTTTTAAAAACCTCTCAACAAAAACTCCAAGTCGAATTCAACGACCAATGGCAAAACATTATGCTACTCGATTTATATCAAGTCATGAAGCACTGCATATCGGTTCATATTAAACATCTATCGAGTAATTTCTGATTGTATCGAATCTATTTTCATTTTTTTTCTTGAAGAATCAATAAATTAAGGCAACAATTTACCACCCGGTTTTCAACTGCCTGCAACACAAATTATTCGTTAGTGACTTCATAAAGCAAAGCTTTGAGAAGCCCCTTATTTTGCTTCCCGGACGACGTTGGTTTCATTCTTATTCATTTTACAATCGGCAATAGAGCATAGTTCTGACATCTTTTGGATTTCCTTCCCATTGCTGAGCAGGAGGAGCACTTGGTATATCCACCTTTGAGCCAGACGGCATGAAGATCAATTTCTTCACCACTCCAAAGCATAGGATTCCACTCCAAGTATTCAACCAAGAGCTTCGCCGACTGCAAAGATATCCGTGGAACAGGAGACTCCAAGATCTTCACTCATCTCACCCCTCATCGGATCATCGATGAAAAGTAATGATCAATAGATTTTTCAGCGTATGTTATACCTGGATCAGCGCATTTCTTTTCAGCACTGCAGTACTTGAAAAAAGAGAAATGTACTGTGGTGTTACCGCAGAATTCATTTTTCAGCGTCATTTCTCATCGAACGCGAGAAAAGCATCAGGGAATATTAATTGAAATACGGTGGGACCCCAACACACGGACACAACCTCAAACACACAGATGATGCAACTTAGGGACACTCAGAAATGAAAATATCTGCCCCCGACATCCGGACAGTGACTCGATGAGATACTGCGCAGAAAATGTTCCAAAATTTCTGGGAAAAATAAAAAATTCTGAACTTATGTTTTTTTTTAAATTGAGCTACTCTATTTAAATTTAAAAATACTGCACTTAAAAATAAATTTCATTAGGAAATGTCCCTAATTCATAATAATAAAAAGGCCAATTTTGTGCTCCTTTTTTCGTTTTTTTACAAGGGTGCTCAGTATAACAAGACTTATTCTTGTTCTTTGCTTATATTGAGCTCCTTCTGATTCCAAAAGTTCAGATTCTGTGTGGTTTTCATCTTCTGTACATTTATTTTATGTATCTCGAAATTCAGAAAAATTATTTTATTAAATTTGTGGGGACTTTTCTTGATTACTGATCTACAGGAGAACCAATAAAAAATCTTCCTATTGAATTCCATGGGAAAATTATGTTCGACATGCGGACATTCCGACATAGAGAAATGGTCCAAGCACCAATTGCGTCCGCATCTCGGGGTCCACCTGTATATTCGTTCGAACAATGGAATCATCAAGTACGAATAAGCAGCTGAAGGTTTCTGCTGGGAAGAATTTCACAGGAAATTTTTGTTTTCTTAATGGGAATTTTATGATGAAGAAAACCTGAGAACTGGTCACGTCGATGACATATTTATCCTTGCTCAATTATATTAATCGAGTTTTTTTCTATGCGAGCAAAACATCACTTTGGTTGAATTTTAGCTGAGCACAAGATTATATTAGATCTAATAAAACGAAGAAGACTGCTGCTGTAATGTGCCAATGTAAAAATTAGCACTGCTTAAGAAAATATATGTAATGTGATTGTGAGCTCTTAAATTCCGCAGTTTTTTTTACGCACAAAACTTCATGGCGTGATTATGTCGAATGATTTAGTTTTTCGGTTGACTTCAGAATTCCCTACAGAAAAACAGAGCATGTTTGGAATACTATAGTTCTCTCCATCAAATTGTTCTTCCAGCCGTTGAAAAATGCGAAAATCCAATTGCTGTCTTGATATCCACGGAAATAAGACATGATTCCATGCGTGAAATTGGCGTTATTTCGACTGCAAACACACCCTCATGAAGTTTATGTGCCGAAAATAAAACCTGTGGTTTTCATCTCCAGAGGTATATATATTTCGTGCTGTTTTTTCCGCACATTCTGATTCTATATTAACTCACCTCGCGGCATTTTAAAATTGAGGCGCAGTATATGGACGAGATCTCGCGAACATCTGATGGCGTTTGATTCTCTTCTTATACAAACAGTTCCTGCGTCATTTCTACTGATGGAATGACGTGAGGAGATGATATTGGGTTGTGCAAACGAAAAGTTCGAGGGATTTCTACGTCGTGTATGTCAGTGTTCAGAAGAGTGTCTTCCATGTTTGATACGACCTCGGATTAAAAGTAAAGGAACTGATGTATTTTTTATGATATAGCCTCGGATCTTTTCCAGTGGCGTTTCTGGGTGCTTGCTGGAAGAGCAATGTTTTGAGTTTGACCGGTTGAAATTGATGGGATCATTTGAAACGTTTCTGTAGATTGCCGAACCATTTTTCCTCAGGATAGAATTTTCTTGAATGCGTCTATAAAATAATCTACAGTATTATTATCCAGCTTGAAATCAAGAGATAAAAAATTAAAGGCTTGTAATCTATCCTGATCACGAATTGCGGCGTTGCTTCGAAATTTAATAATTTTTGTAACTTTTCTTGCTGGGATTGATTGGATGATGGGGAAAATTTGATGCTTTCAAAAATGCCAAGCATCGAAACTTAATCGCTAGTCCAATATTTTTTACGTTTTAAAGTGAAATCTTCCAATGCAATTGCATAAATAAATCAAGATACGTCTATAAATCGCCGGCTTTTAAAATTTGACGGTGTCTTACATTCGATGGCATTTTATTTATTTGTTGCTGGTGAAATCCATGATTATTTCAGACCAACACTACTGGAATGGAAATTGAGCTTGAAGTTCAATCTAAGGATGCTTCGAGACCATTTCCAAAACATGAGTACACGAGTTACAATCCGGAAGTGTTCCATGAGATTACGCTGGTGAATGAAGCTAGAATAACGAAGAAGCAACGGACTCTTCTGCTTCTATAATGCTGCCATGAAATGTCTTCTTGTATACATTTGCACGGTAAATTTCTTTATTTCAAAGTCTCAATGCACAACACATTGAGGCGAGTCTTTTATTCGACGCCCGTCGTCGAGGAAATGCGGCTATTTTTTCATTTCATGATTTAATTTCCGGTTCCTGCGCAGCAATCTTTTCTCCGTGCTCGCAGAAAAAATTTGGCATGCAGGGTGAGGAAAGCATATGTGGTTTTGCTGTTGCTGCTGGTGGTATTGCCAAAGGTAATCCTTCATTCCTGGCTTTCACTGCGAGCTCTGTTCGGTGATGCCACTGCATTCCACGCCAAATGAGCCCTGGGACCAGAGAGGAGCGATTTCTCACGGCAACTAATTCCAGTGGCCTAATGAACGACGGCCCGACCTGCTGGGTTCTGCTGTGTACAGGCCAGGAGAGTATGGGATTTATATTCATATTATTCTTGCTATTATTACTATTATTTTTGGTATTTTTATTTTTTTTTTAGAATGCACAGCATCGTCTCTGATTGCACCCGCCGCGGTCCAGAGATTCAGGGATGAAAGCAAAAACTCGGAATTGTGCAGAATTCCTCAGATTCTTGTTTTTTGATATCTCTATATTTTTAGATGGGATTCCTTGAATTCTATCGAGAAATCGTGAAGTGGCGAAATACAGTAGTGTACCAGTTTTTTTTTTTCACGGGATGGTCCTTTCCGGATTTTGACTTTTCCTGCATGTTTTTTATTTGTTTTTAATTTGGCACTAAGATGATGCGATTGGAACAAAGACTTCGCATATCATGAATGGGTTGAACGTATACGCGCTGTGAAAAATCAAGACACATTCAAATCAGTGTAAAATCTCCTGAAAATCTAAAAAAGGAAAGCAAATGATAGATGGGTTAGATATAACATTCCAGGCATTTCGTAAATGATTCAAATTAACAAAGGGGTTAAATTTACGTTTCATAAATGGGTTGAATTCACCCGCGGTGAAACTTCGAGGCACATTTAAGTTAGTGTAAGAATTAAGTCCCAAAAATCTGAAAAAGAAAGAAATATAGACAAAAATTACGAAGAGGCTCGCTTTGGTTGGGAAAATTTTAGAGATTTCTTGGTACAGAGCGTGATATATATTTTTTAAATCACATACTCCGAACGTGTGTAGAATTAATTTTAGCACCAAAGAAAGCATTTAAATGTTTTAATTCTTATTAGCAATTTCTTGACTGCTTACTCAAAAACACTTGAATTCAAAGCTATGAAATGAAAGGATTAAAATCATCTCACTCACGTTACTTCTGATGCATAATTTATGAAGCAAATTTTGTCTGATCAGTTTTCTGTTTATTTATCTCGACCATGGAATCAATGTGATCTAGAGCATCGTTCAACAAAAAAGGATTTCTCTCAAAATACAGTACTGTATTTCAATAATATTCTTGTCCTTTTTTTAAAAACCCTATTCACCTTCAACTGCATGATGTTACAGTATGAGAAATAACCGTTTCAATTCTACGCCACTCAGTATATCAAAAGAAAATGACATCATCACAGTGGTCAATGAATTTGAGAAAGAATAAAATGTACTTGCGCGTGTATTTTATTCATTAATGCCCCCCCCCAACTTCCTTCCTATTTACATTTAGCAGGAAATTTCCGTAACAGTTTTCTCAATTAATTCTAGTTTCGAAGCCAAGTTGAATTTTTTGAATGCTGAAACTTAAAAATTCAAAAATAAGAACAGAAGTTGAATGAAATATGGATGAAATTCACGTTGCGGAAAAACAATTTTTAATTCAAAGAACATGTGTGCTCGTGAAACTAATTTCATAACTAAATCAACTTTGAGGAATGAGACCAAACTCGAAGGAAAAAAGTTTCCTGCAAACCCATTTGTCTCTTTTGATTATCTTTCGCCCTTTCGGCTGAAGTCGACCTTTGCTCACCTCTCCTCGAAGGGATTAGATAAGAAAATCCCTGGGATTATGCCTCTAATCAAACCCTGGGGTATCTGGGGTGGAATAACTGAAATCAGCGCATGCACGAATTTTTTTTTTGTATAAACCAGAAAAAGAAGTTTTTATTTCATATTCGATCTCATTTCAGACTGCATGTCTGATACAAATGACACCGAAAATAGGATTATATTCCTCGTCAACACTGATTACGTACCCGTGATTAATGAGTAAGAATTTTATTTTGGGCTAAATTATTTATTAGGGGTGCCATTCCATTTTGGGCTTGTTGTGAGGAAAATGACCTGCTGAAGAAACCATTTGCAATTCTTTGTTTTCACCGCACTTCAAAGATGACCTTTTTGATGGTTTTGTTTCATTTCCAGACGATCTTCAAAGTCTAATGCTTAGACTTATATCTTTCAGAAAATATTATTCAATAACAACTTTAATTATATTTTTCCGTCTTCTGCGAAGCTTTCAAACAAAATTTACAGATTTTTCACAGCAGAAACGATGAAAATGTCCGTTCAAGAGAGATCTCGCAGTTAAATAGTGTTCATCATTAACCAAAGTTGTGATTTTCACTGTATAAGTGGAAAATTGATATAATTATCCGTCACGTTTGGAAGATTGAAATCATTGTTTGAGAACTCGTTTTATAGATGACATTTTCCTAGGTTCAATCATATCTTCATTCACGAGCTTGTTTTTTTATGAACTTTTCTGAACTCGGAAAAGAGCTAAAAAAAAGCATGTTAAATTGCGCATTGAGGATCTGGGTTACAATGAAGTTGATTTGATTGATGATTCCTCCGTATTTTTGGCAATTGGATTCTCTTCCATGTTATATGTGGGTTTTCTACAATAATTTTTTTCTGGTCCCTTGATTTTCCCTGGAGAGTCCACGTGTAACTTATTTTCCAATATAAGGAGAATAAAATGCAGCATATTTCTTCGGCATTCCTTACGTAACAGTCCACTTTCGCTTTTATCAGTGACGAATTACGGTATTACGTAACTGGAACAAGGCCCAGTTTGAACCTGGTGTACCGAACCCAAAGCAAGCGAGGCCAACCGGCAACTGGTTCCAATTACGACTTCCCCCTTTATTCCTTACCCAGGGATGAAAAAGGTTCCGCGAGTGAAGCATGTTGGCAGGGTTTTGCTGAGATACTGCTGATGGAAACTGTCAAGCAGAATCCGGGTCCCATTAAAAGCCGGCCTTTGTGATCGTTCCGGGACAACCCATATATATATGAGGAGAGACCAATTCCCCCAGGGGAAAAACCGGGTTGCGGAGTTAACTGAGGCATCAGAGACTCGGGATGTCGGCGTCTTTGTCACCGTGGAAAATTTGCGACGCGATTTTCTGCCAGCAATTGAGATCAAATCCAAAGCCATATACAGTATTCCTTGCGGGGATTTTTTACATCCTCAAATATTTCATCAAGTTGACACTTATTCTTGGACGCACACAAATCAATTCAGCGTCGGGGAAAAAATAAGAAATTACGGGTAAAAAACATTAACTCGTTTCAACCGACGCATCCACAAGTCTACTCCATTCCGATTATCATAACTTGCAGAGCGCGTTTTATAAGAAACAGAATTTGGGTCTTATGTCAAAACTCGGGGCTTGACTTGACAAAAGTTACAATGATTTAAACTTACAAGCATTCCCTGCTGCTGAGCAGTTTACGCAATACCTGTTCATAATAATACTGCTGTACTGCGTCAAGAAAATTTCTGTGAAATATTTTTGCATAAAGAAATGTGTGTAAAATACCGCCAAAATTAACCCAACCCCTTCATCAAGTATACGGTGTATACCTCAAAAATGCCAAACATGACAGAGAACGATGAGTCAACTGAAGAACAAGAGAAAAAATAATTAATTTAAAGAGTTAAATTTCTCTTAAGATGAGACAAAACCGCGCACAAACGTCTTGAGCATATATTTTGCTTGAGAACACGTTTCATCGCTGATTTGAATAAAGACTGAAAGCCGAAGTGTTCATCGGCGAAACCGTGTTAAAAAATTCTCTGAAATAATAAAAAAAAACCAAAGGAAGAGATTCAAAGAAAGCCAGTCGAGAACCTGGACAAGTTATGTTTGCTTCCTCGAG